TGTTTTTTTTCCGTATATATACCCATGAGTGGAATTACTGGGTCATATTATAGTTCTGTTTTTAGTTTTTTGAGAAACCTCCATACTGTTTTCCATAGTGGCTGCACTAATTTACATTCTCACCAACAGTGTAGGAGTGTTCGCCTTTCTCCACATCCTTGCCAACATTTGTTGTTTGTGTTCTTTTTGATGATGGCCATTCTGACAGGTGTGAGGTGATATCTCATTGTGGTTTTGACTTGCATTTCCCTGATGATTAGGGATGTTAAGCATCTCTTCATGTGCCTGTTGGCCATCTGCATTTCCTCTTTGGAAAAATGTCTATTCAGTTCTTCTGCCCATTTTTTTAATCAGGTTGTTTGTTTTTCTCTGGAGTTGTGTAAGCTGTTTATATATGTTGAATATTAACCCTTATTGGTCATATCCTTTGCAAATATTTTCTCCCATTCAGTAGGTTGTCTTCATTTTATCAATGGTTTCCTTTGCTGTGCAAAATCAAAACAACTTTTAAAATCAAAACAACTTTTGATGTGCAAAAGGAAGATTTCTCAATAGCAAATTGAATTTGCCAAACTAGATTTAAATTAGTAAAAGCAAGACAGGGGAATGTGATTTGGGAAAGGTAAAGCAGTTGCTAAATGAACCACTAACTAGCGGGCCATATTGTCACCTGACATCCTGCACCGCTGCCTGGTTGACCCCCCTGGAACGCACTGTTTATGGCATGAGAACCCTTGAGGGATGCACTCATGTGCAGCTGCAAACAGTGGGCTTCGGGGTGAAGCTGCAGCAACAGACTCACCAGCTTGGGCTGTGGCAGTGAAGTAAAGACCATGTGTCTGAAGCATCGCCGCCAAAGACAGCCTCTGCAAAACAGCCACTGCAGGCGCGAATTTTATGAGTTCTCCGCGTGCAAACTACCATTAGTCATGCATTGATTGATCCATTGCTCCAGGAGCTTCATTTCCAAATGCAAAGGCAGCTTTTCAGCACAACCTCACTGTAACACTGCCTTTGTCATCCACTCCTTATATTTTAAACCTCCTTCATAAGGAGGTTTTTTTTTAGATTTAAATGCTTAGACCCCTATGACTGCTGCATCTTGAATAGTGACACTGTGAGGTTCGTGTATTTTTTTTTTTTTTTTTTTTTTGCAGTTCGCGGGCCCCTCACTGCCGTGGTCTCTCCCGTTGCGGAGCACAGGCTCCGGGTGCGCAGGCTCAGCGGCCATGGCTCACGGGCCCAGCCGCTCTGCGGCATGTGGGATCTTCCCGGACCAGGGCACGAACCCGTGTCCCCTGCATCGGCAGGTGGACTCTCAACCACTGCGCCACCAGGGAAGCCCAGGTTCCTGTATTTTTATGCGTGCATATGAGTGCCTGCATTTCTCCATCTTTCTCAAACACATTTTCATAGAAAAATAAATGTAGTGAATTTATAAATAAGAAGGTGGAGAAACAATACTACTCTCTTCACATTAGGCAGGTACAGTGATTAAAGCAGAAACTTGGCCCAGAAATTCACTAGAATTCAACATTACTATGGAATATCTAAGAATAGGCAGAAATTATTTTTTTCCTTTTTTTTTCTCTTTTCTTTAAAACTCGACATTCCTGTTTTAATTGTGTCTTCCTCCAGGAGTTGTATGCAATATTCATAGTTATATTTGATATCAGAACTCAGTTACTGACAATATTCTAAGGATACGTTCAGTGCTAGGATATATAAAGTGACAAGGATAGATGTTTTCTATATCCTACCGTGGTTGATTTTTTTTTTCTTTTAAAGAGGGACAGGCAAGAGTAGTATAAACATCTAAAGAAGTATCTCTGTAAGCTCAGGTTTATATTATATTTTGCCTTAACATAATAAAATAAATTATGTTTTGCAGAGGAGAGACTGGAAACAGGACAAGCTGCTATTTTATGTTTATTCCATACTTCTAGGTCTTTACTGATCACACAACTACGTAGGTGGATCGAAAACTTTGTTTTTTTTTAATTGACGTATAGTTGATTTATAACATTATATTAGTTTCAGGTATACAGCATAGTGTTCAGTATTTTTACATATTATACTCCATTAGAAGTTATTACAAGATAATGGCTGTAATTCCCTGTGCTGTACAATATATCCTTGTTGCTTATCTATTTTTTTCATAGTAGTTTGTATCTCTTAATTCCATGCCCCAATCTTGCCCCTCCCTGCTTCCCTCTCTCCACCAGTAACCACTATTTTGTTTTCTATATCTGTGAGTCCGTTTCTGTTTTGCTATATACATTCATTTGTTTTATTTTTTAGATTTCACATATAAGTGATATCTCCACCAGTAACCACTATTTTGTTTTCTATATCTGTGAGTCCGTTTCTGTTTTGCTATATACATTCATTTGTTTTATTTTTCAGATTTCACATATAAGTGATATCATATGTGTTCTCTGTCTGACTTGTTTCACTAAGCATAATATTCTCTGGGTTTATCCATGTTGCTGCAAATTATTATTTAGAAGGGCATGACTGATGTGGTAATAATGATGGTAATTATTATCAAGAAATTTTATATAATACTAACCAATTATAGTGGCTTGAAATGCTAGAATTTTATTTAAAAGAACTACATTAGAAGGACAACACGTAATGTTTATACATAACTCCAGCCCACTGGTGCCTGCTAGGCCAGTTGTATTTAGTTTTGGACATGCACTGTTAATGATTCTCCCGGGTCAATGCAGGTGTTTTTGTTGTTTTTCTCCGCATCTTGGCTTTTCTTAAAAAAAAGAGATAAATGGGGAGATTTGGGTCAAAGGGTATAAACTTTCAGTTAAAAGATTAATAAGTTCTGGGGATCTAATGCACAGTATGGTGATTATATACCGAATCATATACTTGAGAGTAGATCTTAAATGTTCTCACCACAAAAAAGAAGTGGTAATTATCTAATGGGATGGAGGTATTAGCTAATGCTATGGTGGTAATCATTTTGCAGTACATAAATGTATCAAATCAACATACTGTACACCTTAACTTACACATAACTTAAATATAATGATATATAAATATACATTTATCTACATATAAAATGTGTATATGACAAGGATAAATTAGAGAGAGAGAGAGAAGAGAGAGAGAGCTATCTTTCTAACATGATGAATGAATAAGAAAGGACAACACAAAAGGATGGTTATGGGATGCTCACAACACCTAAGTCTTTTGCATAGCCTTGTAGGCTGCACGATCTGGTCCCTGCCCGCCTCCGGCCTCATCTTTGTATTTTGGAAGCCTCAGCCTCTGCCTCCCTCTCTACTCCCCCACCTGTGCCTTGCTCCTCATTCATGCTGTTCCCTCTGCCTAAGATGCCTTTCCTCTTAACCTCCCACCCACCTCTTCTCCCGTGTCCTTCAGATTTCAGCATACCTATATAAAGTCGTCTCCCTGTCCTATGATTTATAGCATTTATCACAACGTATAAGTATGTATTTGTGTGATCATTTGAACAATATGTGCATCCCCCTCTAGTCTATAAGTTACAGGAAGTTTGGTGCCTTGTCACACAATAGACATTCAAAAATTATTCACTGAAAGGATTTTTAAAGAGAGCAAGAGAAAAAGTGAGAAAGAACTTAGATTTGAAGAAGTTAATAATATTTTTTAAAATAGAAGCTAGAAAAACTAAGAACCGTAAAGTAGAGAAAAAAATCAAAGGACTCTTGTCACATATATACAACTGTGTGTGTGTGTGTGTATAATTAGAGTCCTTGAAAATCCCTACATATGTAGCATTTCTGAATGTCAATATTCAAAGCCAGATTTCTATAATGTCAGAACCTCTCCAAGTTATAAACCCATATCTTGTGCTGTTTTCTCATTATAATCTAAATACTCTTACATGTACATCGATATGGAGTAGGCTGTCTATTTTCTAACATAATTAGGAAATAGGCTGTGCTGCTTAATTGAGTGTTCTGGGCAATAGAATCACATTACACATTATCATACACATATAATCCATAGTCCATGAATCTGATTACAATAAATTTCATGTAACTCTAAAACTCAATTTAACCATTGATGAAAACATGTAAGGATTGTGCAGTGCTTTTGTGGCCATCATTATGGATGCTACGCACCTTGGCACCATGTAGTACTCTCATATTTGTCAGTAGTGGCTGCAGTAATCCCCTTGATAGAAAGCTGGGTGAGCCAGGTTTTGCTGAAGTGGATAGAGCGTCCTGTAGTAATTGCAAGTTCTGTGAGATAAAGGTCAATTCATTCTATTAGGCAAAAAGAAAGAACATGTGCAAAATTTGATTAAGAAATACCTATAGGTCATTAAAAATTGAATATCAGCTTAACCTGTTGAAGTCCTTAGCTCTCATACATGTATTTACTTTTACTGTTTTAAATGTTTGATTTTCAGAAGTGTGTTGAGGAACGTTTTCCGTATTATGGCTAAGATTGCTATTTCAAAAATACAATGCCCCACATTTTATATCTCCATAAAAATTAATGGAGTTTCACACCACGCTTCTGTGAACCTCACTATGACTGTCTCCACTGTGCAGATCAGAGAAGCTGAGGCATGAAGCTATTTCTGTAAATTTTCCAAAGAGCTGCCCTGAGCCCACGGAGAAGAGAGCCTGAGACAGAAAACTATCTGTGTCCTCACTGAAAGTACACCTTAGGTGCACTTGGAGTCTTGGGGCTGGGTTGGTGGGAGGAGTAGGTTGCAAAACCAGAGTTGGCTTTTCCCACGTGCTACTCCAGTCCTAACAAGGACGTCTCTGGGGAAATGTGTATTCAGGTAAAGAGGCTATCAAGGTGGTCACCAGGATTAATTTTTAGTGGTCTGAAGTGCCTTGAGTATGCTTGATGGCAAGAAGGTAGATTAGTTGGCTTTTCAAGGCCTTTCTAACAGTTATTATTCTATCCAGTGAGAGACTAATATGGATGAAAAATATTCAAAACGTTTACCTTTCTTTTTCTTTTCCTCTCCTTTGCAGATCTATGCGGTTCGATCAGTTGTTCCCAACAAAAGCAATAATGAAATAGTTCTGGTGCTACAACAGTTTGATTTTAATGTAGATAAAGCAGTGCAGGCCTTCGTGGATGGTGAGTATACACGTCCCCTGAACCTGAAGATGTTAGAACTAGATATTCCATATATTCTGTATTTTTTTCCTTGAATGCATTGAATACCAATTATTCACTAATACTTTAATTTTCATTAAAATGTGCTAGGTTTTAAAAACACATCTACATATTAAGAGCAGAATTTGGAAGTTCTTTTTTCCTCATTGGGGAATAAAAAAGGACAGACTGTAGATAGCTTGCAAAGGATACGTATTATAATGCTACTAATTCCGTTGTCAACCAGTCCGTCCAATTTGTTACTAAACATGTCCTTTATTTGATGGTGCCCTTGTTAATGGAGGATGATGTACTTCCCTTCTGATCGGGCAAGCCTTCTCAACTCTTCAACCAGCATAGTTCTACTTGGCCTTACGACTGGAATCCTTGAACTTGATGCTTATGTAGTCTGAGAGGACTGGTTTAGTCTTTAATATCCTTAGTTTATGATTTTGAGATTACCTAATTAATCAGAATATCAGTTCATCTTATCTACCTCTAGAACTTTTTGCTGTCTAAAAAAAATTGTTTTTTGGACAGCCCATTGCCAGTGACGGTATAGAATCTAAAGTCTCAGGAATGTATTTATTCTATAAATGGATAACCTACTGCTTTAGATTTCCTATAAATTATGGGAAAGTCTTCTCTCCTACTCAAATTAAAGTTCCATTTATGAACAGAGATCTCATACCTGTCCTTAGTTATCATATGTCTACTGTCCCAGCATTAGTTTCTGTTTTGTCAGTATGGACTAACTAAACATAATCTGACCGAAAGGTCAGGGAAGACCTATCAGCACATTCCTCGGGTTTGTCCTAGTTACACTTTATTTGTTAAGGACAGTTTGATTTACTTACTTTCCTAGGAGTAGAATAATCTTCCTAAGTTTCTACATATAGTACAGTTGCATTTCAGGCAAGGTCTTGGAACCAGGCAACACACTCACATTCTGATATCTGCAGTCAGGGTTTAGGGTCCTAATTGAATTTAAAATGATTATCATTCAAAATAGACCTGCAAGCAGACCCACGGTGCATAACTTTTCTGACTGTTTTTCCTGCTACGTGTACAAGAATCTTTACTCACCAGATACAAATACAGAGAATGTAATTATTACTCCACCTTTGCAGCATTTAGTGCAATTCATCTCAAGAAAAAATTGGGGGAAACATGCATATCCTGGCTCAGATGAACTCTTTTCAGGTTTCACTTGCCAACATCACTCACATGGAAAAAAGCTTTAGGAAAGGAAAAAGGTTATTATCCCCATGCCTCCCCAGCCTCAGTTGGATGGAGGCCCCGACATTCTCCATAATGAAAGTTTTTATTACAGAGTGACCCCTGATGAGATGCACAGATACTCAGTAACTGATGGACTGTCATCAAATCCGATCATATTTAAATAGAGCACCATGCTTGTCCTTCTTGACATTTTCACCTTGTCGGTATTGAGGTCTCATTTTTAAAGACTCATCGATTGCTGAGAAACCTCATATCATTTTGGATGGGGAGCAGTCAGAAAACTTGTTTAAAAATCACTGAAAATCAGAAATAATTGTTAAGAATCATTTACGAGGCACACTAACAGCACTCTTTCTGAGCGGCTTAAAGAACTCCAAGCAGTTTCAGTATAATTAAAGTTTAATAACAACAATTTCAAAATTGTCTGTAAACATAGTTATTTCTTCTTCAGAATTACCCTCTAAAAGCTTGTTGTCCAAATTGCAAATAGAATTTATGTCAAAATATGCAAATTAGAGGTATAATTGAATATTGCAGTTGAAAGCAGTAAGCAACTCACCTCCTTCCTCTGATAAAAAAGAACAGTGTTTAACATTTTTTAAAATTTAATTTTATCTGGAAAACTGAAGTTGAGCTATAAGTAAGAACTACCCTAATGATTATTAGCCACTGGTGTGACTTACGAAGTAACCTAGTGAAAGTGACTTCCTAAAGTTCTTCAAAAGGAAAATACTGTGAAACATTAATTCTCTGGGCAAATTAGAAAAAGACTAGCCCAGTTAATAAAAAGACTGAATTATAGCTTACTTTTAAGTGCAGTCTTATTATTTCAAGTACATGTAACGCAAAAGGCCTAAGAGGGGCATTGAATTGGAAACTGTGAATGGATAGGAATAATTAGCCTTTCTGAACATTAGTCCAAATACTATGGCCTTCTGCTTATCAAACAGTAACAGTAGACTCAATAATTGGGGCCCTACTAATTTGAAATTTGTTATAAAGACCGGCCTGAAGTTTATCTTCGTTTAGCCAACACACTCATTGTAGAGAACTATTAGTATAATGAGACTGTATGAGAATGCTTAAAATTGTTAAAAGGATACATGTAAGAGCTACTCTTTTAGAAGCACCTATTTAAATGAGAACAACTGGTCTACTCATTACCAATAACTTATTGTTGAAATTACCCCCAGCACAGTTGGAAGGAGTGAAGAACTTACTAAGACTACATGAAGATACTTATTGTAGCTGACCAGTGGTTAAGCATTTCTTTTCAAATGTTTTCTAATTTAATCAAGTTAGGCTTTTCCTCTGCATCTGAGCAATGCCACGTATGCATGTGAATGGCATTGACAGAACCTAGGACTCAACTTATTTGATGAGCTCCTTTTGTTTCAAAGTGGAACCTTGCAAAGACTGCATCCCATCCCTATTCACAGTGATGAGAGCAAAGCTAACATCAGATCATCTGTCCTTATCACCCTGCAGGTTGTGAACATAATGAGTAGAGGCAGAAAATGAACAGGAGTAGCCAAACAAAAAGTTAGGATTCACATGGTTAATAATATTCAAAATCTCATGTTTAGCCCGGAAGATTAGAGGTATTTTGATTCATATATCAAACAGAACAATTTTAATTCTGCCTATGGCAATGAAGCTATCAGAAAATTCTCAATATATTTCATTTTCTCTAAGACAACATAATGATAAAACAAAGTAAGCTTCATGTAGTGGGGCTTAATACTTTGATAAAACCAAGATCATGCAGTGAATTTAATGAAAATCTGGAAATAAAAAATGAAACTGGCATTTTTATTAAGGTAGGATGTATCAAAACAAATGAAAAAGCCGGAAAAAAAATCGCTACCAAGATGGAAAGACAGAGATGAATTTTGTGTGGTGCTTTATTATGTGAATGCATGTTGAAGATTCTTTGTCTTTGTCTAGGCAGTGCAATTCAAGTTCTAAAAGAATGGAATATGACAGGAAAAAAGAAGGTAAGATTGATATTGATTGTAAATCAGTAGCATCTTCCATCAGAATCTTCATGGTTGTTATCATTTTAACAAGGCTGCCAATTTTGTGCTTCTTTCATATATGTTAATATGTACACCCAGGAAGCTTCCAGATTCACGACTCTCTTAAATTACCGGCCACCCTCCCTACTAATGCCCTTGTTTTCTGTTCAAGTGTTTTTAACCACCAGGTGTGCTTTAGAAATCCCAGAGTTTTCTTTTTAAGTATTAAGGCGAGCCCAACCGGAGAATTCAAAGGATTCTAGACGTTAACTTGCCTGAACGTATCCTGTAGCACAAAGGAAAAAATTAAGGAGTGTTTTAAAGATACTTGAAAAGCCCTAAATATATTTTCACATGTTTTTCCAGCTGAGAGAATCTGTCCAAGGCTGCCCCGAGATACTTTTTTCCTGAGTTCTAATAAGCTAGATTTTTAATAAAGGAAGAAAAAAGGAAAGCGCCTTAAAGCCATAGTAAGTAAGGGACCTGTTTTCGCTTCTTTTGAACCCTGACAGACTGACTGCTCCTTGAGAACAGAGGGGAGATTTTACTCTGCCCCTCTCAAGTTATTTTGCTTTCTTGTCTAGTCACACAGTCTCGACTTATGGGCACATGTGCGGTATGCAGCGCCCACACTGGCCTCTGTCTCCAGAACGTGCCTTTCTGGTCTTGTGAGTGACCGTGGAGTACTGGAGCCCTCACTAGCTCCAGTGAGGTGCAGCTTCTTTCTTTTTTTTTTTATTTTTAAATTTTTTTTTGTGGTACGCGGGCCTCTCACTGCTGTGGCCTCTCCAGCCGCGGAGCACAGGCTCTGGACGCGCAGGCTCAGCGGCCATGGCTCACGGGCCCAGCCGCTCCGCGGTGTGTGGGATCTTCCCGGACCGGGGCACGAACCCGTGTCCCCTGCATCGGCAGGTGGACTCCCAACCACTGCGCCACCAGGGAAGCCCGCAGCGTCCTTCTTGTTCTTGGCCCGTAACCTGTTTCATGACTTTCACAAAAAGTCTGCTTCTCCTTTCAAAGTAACTTCCCCACCCATTCCCACTATTCCCAGAGAAGCCTTGTGTTTTGGGAATCCCAGGATATACCCTTCCCACTGAGGGAAGATGGCAGGCCTGTGGCACAGGTTTTAAATAAACACAAGAAAGCAGTATTGCTTTCATAAAATCCCGAGATTACTGAAATTACTAGAATGATCCGTCCCTCCTTTTTCTCCTCCTAGCTTCATGGAGAATAGGAAGAATTATGAAAAATTTTTTTAATCTTTGTATGCCACCGTCTTTGACAATCTCTGCTTATCTTTAATCATAGCTTCCCAGGCTTCTATGTGAGATGAAGACAATTTGCAGGTGATTGAAAGGCAGTATTTATACTTACCTGGAAGAATTTCAGATGTGTGGTTTGTGTATGAAATTTCTCTGATGTGAAAAACAGAGCAGACGGCAGCTGCAGACCCAACTCATTACTAAGCCTCCCTCTTACAGGTTCAGTGGGAAAACTGTCTCCCCAGCCCAGGAGACGCAGGGCTTGTGTGGGAGTAAGTGCCCCTGGGCCTTCCTTCACCCAGTCATTGCATTTCTCTCCCCTGGAGGAGCCCTTACTCAGGGGCGTGATTGTGGTTTCAAAGGAAAAGGAGAGTGGGGAGGAGAATCAAGAGAAAACTGTTTCTTTTTATTTTATTTACTTATTTATTTATTTCTGCGGTGCGCGGGCCTCTCACTGTTGCGGCCCCGCCCGCTGCGGAGCACAGGCTCCGGACGCGCAGGCGCAGCGGCCACGGCTCACGGGCCCAGCCGCTCCGCGGCACTTGGGATCTTCCCGGACCGGGGTTCGGCAGGCGGACTCTCAACCACTGCGCCACCAGGGAAGCCCTTCTTTTTATTTTTTTTCCAAAGGTGTTGAAGAACAAAGCCGGGCTGATGTTCAGCTGGTGGGACACTGATGCAACAGGCGGGACAGGGTCTGCCCTGATGGGCCCCATGTCTGTTCTCATTGGCTGAGGACTGCACCAAGGTCTAAAAGTTTTCAATTATCTAGAATGCAGGGTTGCATTATTTTGAACTAAATGTAACTGAAGTCTTGTAATGCCGTTCAGGTAGCAGCCGAGAGGTCCAGATACAGGTGCACAATGCGAATCCTGGTGGACTCACGTGGGTTTGGCGTTCCTTTGTAGCAGTTGTCCACTCCAGCTTAAGTATTCATGGGGATGATTCCCGGATAGTGACAGCAATCCAGGGATCTCCTGGTTGCTTGGTGCCTTTTCCTAGATCCACCCTGGACTTTGGGGATCTGACTCTACCTCCTCCTTTGGCAGGGACTTCCCTGCCTCTTTTGTACCAGGCCTCCCCCTGCCTCTCCCCCCGCCCCAGAGGATCAGAACCTTAGTGTCCTCCCTGATGCCCCCCGCCACCGCCCATCGTCTCTTTAAGAAATGAGACCTCTTCTCCAGTAGCACAATAGCTGAATTCAGGTTCTTCCAGGGCAGTTATCACAAGACTCTACTGTATGGCCATTCAGATATGTAGCAACTCAATGTGCTCAAATAATGTGTCAGCTATTGAAGCCATTTCCTGCTGCTTTTTTCCTTTTAAAGAAAACTTTTTGTTTACTATGCTTACGATGTAAAAGTTTATACAGCTCATTGTAGGAAGGAAGATATTTACCTTAACTTGGGTGGTTAATAAAGACATAGGCGTTTCACCCATTCTATCAGAAGAGCCAGAAAACAAAAAAAGGGTAACATATCTTATTTTGGTCTCTTGGGTTCACCTTCTATTTCAAGGGTGTGAGCTTCTCATTTGTTTCCCATTCTAGAACAATAAGAGAAAAAGAAGCAAGTCCAAGCAGCATCAAGGCAACAAAGATGCTAAAGACAAGGCAGAGAGGCCCGAAGCAGGGCCTGTGCAGCCACCGCCGCCAGAGATACAAAATGGCCACGTCAACGGCTGTGAGAAGGACAGCTCATCCACTGATTCTGCCAGTGAAAAACCAGCCCTTGCCCCCCGTGAGAAAAAGATCTCAATACTCGAGGAAACTTCAAAGGCACTTCCTGGGGTCACAGGTCAGTTATCCTTAAGTAAAGTTGCTTAGGAAGACATAGAAGAAAAGGATGCCAAGGGACCCACTGGGACAGTCATTGCTACTGTTGATGTTGTTGGAAGGGAAAGATCGTTCTTTTATGGTGTCCACAGATTCAAGCAGTCTTCTCGCAGGATGGTGGAGGTGGGGAGGAAGGTGACAAGGCTAAAGAAGAATTGTGCAATCTAGCCCTGCACTAAGTCAGAGGGTTTTTTTAACTAAAAAATATAGTTCTAGTCTGTATTGGGATCATCAGGAAAAAGGAAATTCCAGTTTAAGGAAATTTTCTTTGTAGACACTTTTGCTGGGATAAGGGAGGGATAATTGGTGACCAAAGGAAATGTTATTAAAGGGTAGGCCAAGTTATTTTAACTCCTGGTATTTTGTATTATGTGATAGAATATATATCCCAGGGTGTTAGAATCTGGAATGTTAATTACTTGTGCTATAGCTGTACATTCATTACTCGACAAAAGGCTACTTAATCAACTGTATGACCTTGGGGGCATCATTTCATCTCTAGTGTCCCATTTCTTTTCTGCAAAATAAGGCAGCTGTACAGGAATCTACTAGATCAGTGGTCTTCAATACTGTCTGACCCAATGCTCCATTTTTATATCAAATACTAAAATAAAATTCATAGATAATATAGTCTACCTAGAAACAAAATGTCAATAATATAAAAACATAAGAAGTTCAAGAACAACTAAAATAGAAGGCCTAATAAAATGGCCAGATGTTCACACCCAATTATAATGAATCACTTTGCACTTAAAAGAAGGGAGACAGTACTCAACTGGATAACATGAACACTGTTTATTTATATGTGATATGTGAAGTAGGAACTGAATAAGTATATTTTTATGTAGACATGGGATCACTGTGAATGCAGCTGCTACAAATACAGACTGACAAGTGCTGATTGTCAACTCAAATAATGTGACTGCCCATGTGATTGGCCACGGGATTTTCCAAATGGTGAAAAACTCTTGGTAAAGTTCTGAACACCAAAGAGTACAATTTTCTCTTAATTTCCACAGTAGTTGAACCCTAGAAATCCAAGTAAACCTTGGAAGTCCATAGGAAAACTGTACAAAAAATACTTGGGTTTACATGTCATGTGTCTAGGAGGGTGTGAGAAAGTTCAGGTTACAGGGCAGTTCTTCGTTGTGTGGGATTCCTGTGATTGTGAGTCATTTAGCATCCTGCCCCCAACACCCACCCATACACAATCATTTAGATAAATTTTAAAAGTGCCCTGTTTTTCAAAATGCCTCCTAAGATAAACCAGGGATGAATAAGACAGGGGCCCTGCTTGAGAAGGGTTTAGTCTAGCAGAAAAGACAAGTGCAAACAGAAAATCACATAGTAACCAGTATTGAATCAGGGATACCATGAGGAAGCATTAAATAACCGACACCATATGACACACTAGGAAGTTTTTTAATTGTTCACAAAGCTCTAATTTTCTTCTATAAACACATTACCTAACAACACTATTAATAGTGCTATAATTCAGATAATCCTTACTACACAAGGATTTCTTAAAAACAAACAATGAAAATAACCTACTTCTATTTAGAATCTGGATTTTCCAGTAATCTTTTAATTCAGCTTTTCCTCTGCCTACAATTTTGAGAATGTTTTGATTTATAGTCAGGGCAGGAGAAAGAAATTAAATAATCGAGTGGCACATTCCCAACTTTGCTTGTGATTTGCCTTCACACTAATTATTTCAAAAGCTAATTACTCAAGTTGCTGTTGTGATATCAATCATACACTAAAAGCGCAGCACATATAGTTGTTCATTTACTTATAATTTATACCTTCTTCCTAAAGCAATTTCAGTAACTCTATCAAGTATATGACATTAGAACGAATGCAGTATTGAATCGCTTCGCTTCACGGTGGATAGCTACCTTGAAAGTTAAGTACCCGTCCGACGAGTTCTCTGTACCAGGGGGCTTTTGTGAACCCTATCATGAAACTTTTGGTGAAGAATACTTTATTGCACAAAGAGCCATCCCAATATCCCTTCGGTTTTATAAGCTTAGCATGAAGGCATTGAGGTATGTCAGTATTATTTGTTAATAATTAATAATAAAAATCTATCACTCATGTAAATTTTTCTGTTAAAGAATAAAATGATGATAATGGAAGGTTATTAGATGTTTTTGCAAAAGGAAGGGAATCCTCCTGGTTGACCATTCATCATCAGCTCACTTATTGTGATCATAAATTTTGAAATGAGTTTATAACTAGTTAAGTTTTCCTTCCCAAAGATAATGAAGGTTCATCGGGAAGTTGATGCCAAAACTGTCAAATGACTCTGAAATGCTTATTCAGTCTATCAGAAATCCTGAGACCTCTGCTAGATATTTCACAGATGAGTGTTGGGTCTCGGGCATTCTGCACCCAATTTTGAGTAGACCTTTGGAACTGAAAAGGATGGGAATGATTCCTTACTCCACTCACTTCATAGCTGAGGAAACCAAGGCCCTTGGGTCGAGAAACTGAGAAGACCCACACCCCGGGGTAACTCTCTTTGGTTAGCAAAAGCCTGACTCAAATCGATGCAATTTTATGCACATGTTAGAGAGTTATTGCTAAAACCACAGGCTCCCTTACTCCTAAAAGATGTATAATTGAAAAATTAGGAAAAAGTAATCATAACAAAGCTAGATAATGGTATTCTGTACTTGAGTGAGTTCGAAGTATGAGCGTAAAAGAAATCTCTAGTCTGCTAGTGGCGGAGCATTTATCAAGCTTTCCAATAATGAAACTGCCTCAGGAAAGCCTGTTCTGAATGCCCAGCTGGGCAGCAGGCTGTGAACATGTGGAATGCATGTTTTATCTTTTTATAACACCTTGACATTCAAGATCTCTCTTTTTAAAAGTTTTAAAAGGATCATTTTCTGGTAGGAGAAAAGTTAACTTTAAGATATATGCAGGTGGTTCCAGGGTGTTAGTGTGACTTCCCACATGAAAAATAACCACCCAAAGCATCATCATTTCAGGCTGTAAATATAGTACTGTCGAGTGGGACAACACTGCATGTCAGCATATAGCTTTGAAGTTGGGGAGTTTGATTTAAACTTAGTACAAAATGACTTTTTTAAGGCTTGGAGTAGTTTTTTCTGTATTTCAGAATTTTTAATAACAGCTCAAATTAGATCTTTTACATAATCCAATCAAGATCATCTGCGTCCAAGTACAAACTCAGACAAGGAGTAGATCAAGATTTAGTTTTACCAAATGTAATGCCAAGGATCATTTTTATTTCTAAGGCTCCATCTAAATGACTAAAGCACATTATACCCTTAGGGTTCAGTTATCTTAAACGTTGCTCCTGCACTACTTTTCTTAGGGCTCAGATTGCTGAAATGTATAGGTGCTTATCACCGTAGGGGCCAGAATAGGAATTCAGATTCCTGTGTTGTCTTTCTCCCTCTGGACACAATTCTCATCCATCCAATAGGAAAGGAGCAGGATTATGGGCCACCAACTGGCTCCATTGAGATAAACTTGGGGGGGAGGGGCTTTCCTTGTCTTCAGCTTCTCTTCCCAGCAGGCTTCCTTTATATCCTCTCATCTTGTCAAGCATCCTGGGAAGCCAGCTCTTCTGTTACCTGTTACTTGTCTCAAACAGAAGGCCCCATGCAGTGTTCACTGACCTCCACAAACCAGACTTCGCAGTCTGCCCTGTATTGGAGGACAGGAGCAGCTCCATCGTTTTACCCTTGCAGTGCTTGGCATGCCTCTGGCACAGAACTGCTTTCTCATTCTCTAGGTGAACTGAACCAAATGTGAGAGAAAGGGTCCTGTTATTTTAGAATGTTGGCTGCTTGTCCTTCATTTGTGCTTCTTATTAAAAAGCAACAACAACAACAGACTGTTTTACAATATTTTTATAGTGTGAGGTTCCCTATAGGATTTCCAAGCAGATTGTTTAATGCTGTTGTTGGCCCTAGCTACAAGATTATTTCCCCTGCTTTTCTAAACCCTATATTGGACCAGAGGATTAGAAAAGATCAACAAGAAGAAAGCAGCTTGCCGAGAACTTTAATAGAAAAGCCAAACGTGTATATTCCAGGATTTCAGCCGTGCCAGCTCTCAGATGGAAGCAACATAATATCATAGCTAAGAACCAGAGCTTTAGCATTAAACATGTTTGGATTCAAATATTGGCCTTGTCACTTACTAGGTGTGTGACCCTGGACAAGCTAACTGCTCTGTGTTTTTATCTTCACTTGCAAAATATTCTACTTTACAAGATTGTGGTGAGCGGTAAATGAGATACATAAAGTGATCAGCACAGCATCTGGCACAAAGTAAACCCTCAAATCATTTCTTTATCTATCCAGGAAATGTTTTAAGCATCTAACATGCGCCAGGAATTCTTCTAGAAGAAGTAAACAAAATTAAAAAGTTTTTGCCCTCATGGAGAGATGCATAGTAAAGCAGAATACAGCTGAATGATTATAGATTATAGTAAATGTTGTGAAGCCAGCAAGTAGGAGAGAGACTGGGGCAGGAAGGGAATTGTGGGTAGCAACTTCAGATAAGGCCATACGTGACATGAGTGAATGAAGAGGAGATATGGATGCTGAGACATTGAGGCTGAGGATGCCCCTGTTCACATTCTGTCACATCAAGCTATCTTGGTCTGAACAGCCAACGTTTTATTTAAACTTTAATTAAGGATTATTTTAGGTGAAGCCCTTGTAGAGTTATAACTATTGGTTTTTAATTAAAGATATAGTACTTTATTCGTATATATAGCTGACATTAAGTACTGTCATGTGAACAGGCGTTTTGAAGGTTATATTTTAGAGCACATTTAGCATTATTCTCCCTCTATTATTTTGGCATCAGATCCTTGGTGTTAACTCTTGTTTGGAGTGGTGTGTTGTTCACTCTCAACATCTGCTTCCAGCAGCACTGTGTCTGAACTGTTCAGGTAGTATTAGGGGTGGCCTTACA